TGCACCTCACGACACTGGAAGACAGAAGAGTAAGGGGGGACATGATCACAACCTACAAAATCCTCAGGGGAATCGACCGGGTAAACAAGGACGAACTTTTCAACACTGGTGGGACGCGAACAAGGGGACACAGGTGGAAGCTGAGTACCCAAATGAGCCACAGAGACGTTAGAAAGAACTTTTTCAGTGTCAGAGTAGTTAGCAAATGGAATGCATTAGGAAGTGATGTGGTGGAGGCTGACTCCATTCACAGTTTCAAATGTAGATATGATAGAGCCCAATAGGCTCAGGAATCTGTACACCAGTTGATTGACGGTTGAGAGGCGGGACCAAAGAGCCAGAGCTCAACCCCCGCAAGCACAATTAGGTGAGTACAATTAGGTGAGTACACACACACACACACACACAGTACACACACACACACACACACACAGGCACCTGTGTAAGAACAATCACAGAATCTTGTACACACACATATGTAAGACCAATCCTGGAGTATGCGGCCCCAGCATGGAGCCCGTACCTTGTCAAGCACAAGACGAAGCTGGAAAAAGTCCAAAGGTATGCCACTAGACTAGTCCCAGAACTAAGAGGCATGAGTTACGAGGAAAGGCTGCGGGAAATGCACCTTACGACACTGGAAGACAGAAGAGTAAGGGGAGACATGATCACAACCTACAAAATCCTCAGGGGAATCGACCGGGTAAACAAGGATAAACTATTCAACACTGGTGGGACGCGAACAAGGGGACACAGGTGGAAACTGAGTACCCACATGAGCCACAGAGACGTTAGAAGGAACTTTTTCAGTGTCAGAGTAGTTAACGGATGGAATGCATTAGGCAGTGATGTGGTGGAGGCTGACTCCATACACAGTTTCAAATGTAGATATGATAGAGCCCAGTAGGCTCAGGAATCTGTACACCAGTTGATTGACAGTTGAGAGGCGGGACCAAAATAAAGTGAAACATTGTAACACAAATAGTTAATTAAGGATACCTGAACTCTCATACATTATACAAAGATACAATAAAAGAAAATACAAGATATAAGACAGTGAATGAACAACACCTATTTAAACTACAAAATTATGATGTTTTGTATAAATACAACTAAGTAAAGGGTACCACCTCTGGTGCCAATGTGGGGACCCATAGCCTAGGAGAAGAAAATAAAAAGTATTCAGAGGAGACCTTGTGGTTTCTCACTGAACACTAATATTATCTTAAGTAAATATACACTCTTATTAAGGAGGTGGGAGAAAAATTTACTGCCAAACAAACGCCACAGATAGTTGGAGGTAGTTATTAAGATGCTTAATTATGCAATAAATGCTCTGTAGGACAATTTGCGAGTCACTTTTTGAAACAATGAAGTCGTTTGTTAAGTAGGAAACTCCTCCTCAAGTCCTGCTCGTCCAAGCTCCAGCTCCCCCAACCCTGCCTCTCCTCACGCTAGACTACGACGACCCCCAAGAATACATTCATAAAATAATTTATATACAAAATTTACAACATTGAACAAATATATCATATATAAATGAATATTATATTCATTAGAATTTAGAATAACCTAGATTAGGTTAGGTATATAGTCTCTGTTAGGAATTATTTGTATTTTCAGAGCGTATGTGAGGTATTTATAGAGGTGATAATCGAACACAGGCAAGAGAGCAAAGCAATGCTTCAACAATGTTCGCATGTCAACACTTGTGAGTCGTGAGTGTAGTGTTTTTAACTCATAAACACGAGCTTTGGCTGCTGGATTAATGAGCATTTAGCCTTAATGTATGAGGACGCTTTGTTTGTTAATGAGGACAGGCTGTTTGTTTGAGGAGGGGCTGTTTGTTTATGAGGACGGGCTGTTTATGAGGACGGGCTGTTTGTTTATGGGGACGGGCTGTTTATGGGGACGGGCTGTTTATGGGGACGGGCTGTTTATGGAGACGGGCTGTTTATGGGGACGGGCTGTTTATGGGGACGGGCTGTTTATGGGGACGGGCTGTTTGTTCATGAGGACGGGCTGTTTGTTTATGAGGACGGGCTGTTTGTTTATGAGGACGGCTGTTTGTTTATGAGGACGGGCTGTTTGTTTATGGGGACGGGCTGTTTGTTTATGGGGACGGGCTGTTTGTTTATGAGGACGGGCTGTTTGTTTATGAGGACGGGCTGTTTGTTTATGAGGACGGGCTGTTTGTTTATGAGGACGGGCTGGTAAACGTCACTCACACTTGGTTACCTTAGAACCGTATCAGGAAAAGTGGTGTCTCATTTGACACCTTCCAAGATCACCGCCATAGGCAGCTTACTGTCAAAACAGGACCGTAGAGTTCACAAAGTTTATGACATATACCGACTTATTAGCGTGGAAGATAGTATGGTTTTGGTATATAAATCAACCTTACTACGGTAAAAGCTAGAGCACGAAATGATCTTTGCTCGTTTCCAGTCTGCACTGTAAATACTCACAAAATCCATTAACCAGAACAACTTACCAAACCTAGCCTAGTTATCCACAAACGCACAAAATATAATAATATTAACTGCTATGAGAAAACATCGTCATTTATTATACTGAACACAAATTTACCCTATGTTATGTTATTATATTTCATAATAATTATATATATGTCAATTTCATGTCAATTAATCATTTTCGTATCATGAACCAGTGTTTACTTGAGGCTACCGTACTGGCAGGGAACTCACAAGATTAGCATGAGTTAAACACTACTTAATATATATTATATTGACAATATTTATATTCCCCACAAACACCACCCGGTGTCCGAATCACTTAATCTGTGATAGGCTTCCTGCCAGGCCTTATACAATCCCAGGCTCCACACAATCCTAGTCTCTAAGATAGCAATTTTACTCTCTCACATTACTGGCCAAGTGGTAATCACTTCATAACAGCACGTACATACTACTCACCATAGCACGGGTCGGTCCCTGAGCACTGGGAGTGGAGATCCACCACCTGGGAACATGTCCCCCTGGTGAGAGGCATCCATGGCTCACTCGTCAACCTCTAAGAACAGTCTGCAGATGAGAACTGGTTCTTCCACCATAGTTGAGCCAATATGCCATCTCTACTCTACATCTGTTACATCCCCTCTGGCCCTCCTCAACAACTCATTGTACTTTAGCTTGTCATGGCCCACTTCCGGCTACAGTTACGAGTTGCGTTGGGTCAGTGAAGTTACTGCCAGTTTTTCATGATTATGGAAGCTCTTGGAGGGATCAGCATATACTACATCACAGAATGTAGTATATGAATGCCTCATCTGTTGACCATAACGGCCTCCATACACTGCCCATTCTTATAGGCTCACATAAAGTATGAGACCAGCGGAAGCGTTTGAGAGCCTAACTATTCATATCTATTTGGGTCACAATACCTGGCTTAAGGATGTACGAGCCTGGCCTGAGGGTCTGTACGAGACAGCAAGCCTGCTGGTTTATCGTGGCACCCGTCCAGGCCACGTGCTGACCTTCCCCGGGATACAACCCACAACACTGGCCTAAATCCCGGGTACCTATTTACTGCCAGGTGAACAGAGTCATCAGGCAAAATAAAACGTTTCCAACCACTATTGTCCCGTAGATCAAAGCCGAGATCAAGGAATGTGAGTCAAGGACGTAGACCACTGCACCACGAGACCGTCGTCTACTTCCTGTGTATATAATACTTTTTCCCTTGTTGAAGGCCGTCCAGCTCTAACTGTGACTGTTACAAAACAATGAATCTAATCACGAATAACTAAATGCCAATATTGCAATTGAGGCGGCCAAATTTTATCCCCAGGAGATAAATGATGTCACCAAGGTTCCTCTCACGCTGATTGGCTGGAGGGTGTGGGGCGGGCCGCCCCCTTCTCCACCTGACATGGGCTATTGAACTGGCGTCTAATTAAAATGGAATTGCTCCCTTGATTATCCTTGACTGACGTGGCTGCATCTTGCATGGTTGACACTCTGCATGTATGCATCGATCTATGCATATATAGAGGTAGTTGTGGCGGAGCTTTTGTGATAGAATGTAATAAGCCGAGAGCAGTATTAATTATTACCCTTTCCTTCCGGTCTATGTCTACCAGTTCGTAGATGACATTTCTTGCTGCTTGTCTTAAGATGTGTCGTCTTCGTGAATACTGGAGTGTGCTGCTAAGGCCAGAATAACAGAGTTACCTGCTGTTTTGGGAGTGATTTGTTGAAGTAAGTATGTTTTGTTATCTTTTAGAGTACAACAGGCATATATACATTCATACATACATACATACATACATACATACATACATACATACATACATACATACATACATACATACATACATACACACACAAACTGCCAGCCACATTACCGTGGATAATAAACTAGTGCCACCTGGGCACTAGGAGACTTGAACCACCGACCCTAGGAGTGGGAGACAGTAGTCCTATCAACTCTACTATGGACAGCCTTAATAACGAAGGAGTCCAGAAGAAACTAACCGCTGCCCAACTGGAATTGTAAGCTTTTTCCATGATAAATGAAACTAATTTTGAATCAATGAAGTGCCTCGACCCCCGCCTTCTTGTCACTCCCAGACACCTTCCTTAACCGCAGGTGTCTGTTTATGGGATTATTCAAAATGATTTTCATTTATACATCACGCTTTTGTGATTTCTTTGTCATTTGAGAGTGACGTAAGAGTGTGACACCTTACCGTGGGTGCCAGAGTGTGGTCGGGTCGAGTGTAAAAACCCTGGTTGGGCTCCGGTTTGAGGCCGCCAGCATCTCCCAGTGAATCCAGCACAGTTCCGGATTGGTCAACTTTTGTACCATCATGGCGGAGTCGGTTAGGGCAGGTATCTGGGAGTCACCAGAACGCGGGTTCGAGTCACGTATGTCACAAAGTGAATAAACCATTAATTTATCAAACCAAATGCATAACTATGTTTCGTGAAGACTGTATTAAAATATTCATGTCAGTCTTACCAGCAAACTAACACAAAATGACAAGCCAAGACGCCATGAAGGCGCGAGAGGGAAGAAGGAAGACATTGGAGCTATCAAGTGAAACCCTCAGAGCGGAAAATAGACATAATTCAAGGTATCTCTTCTAGAGACGTGAAGTGTAAGGGAAGAGACCTCACCCAGAGCTCGTGGAGTGGCCGTGTCAACACGCACTCGGAGACGCAGGACGCTGGAGACGAGTGCAACTTTAGTCTCAGAGGAGTCAGAGTAGTGAGTTAGTGGATTAGCCAGAGTGTGTGCAACAATGAGGTGTCCGATGAGCGAGCATGTAACACATGGAGAGCTGAGATGAGGCAAAGTGTGGAGCAGGAGAATATGACAAAGAACATCACAGTCCTAGAGTACTACACAGAACCCAGAGTAAACACAGCCAGAGCATATCATAACATTCCTCACCTTGAACTCTTTTTCTTTCCTTCGGCTATATCTCCAAACCTTCTTGACGGCCGGACGACGACGACGACGACCTCAACGACGACGACGACGACGACGACTAGGAGGAAGAAGGTAGGGAGGACGTCTACGGGTGACAGGGTGGCTCCACGCATCAGCCAGCACGGTAAACACGCTCTCAGAGTGAGTCAACACTGCTTCACGTCACCGCCTCCTGCTCCCCCTCCACACGGGTCTTACTGCCCATCCCTGCCCCTTCTCAGTTGCACCCTCCGCCTCCTCCTGCCGCCTCCAGTCCTTACCCCGGGAGTCATGCGTCCACTTGACGAAGGCGAGGCTGCAGCACCCCCCCCCCCTGCGTCAGCACCCCCCCCCTGCGTCAGCACCCCCCTGCGTCATCTCTCACTCTTCACAACGCACACACCACAATTATTCTCATTTTCGTTTTCCTCCATTTTTCATTGCCTGGGAGGAAAGGGGGGGGGGACTGCGGCAAGTCAGAATTATCCCACCTTGAGAGGAATGTTTACGATAAAAAGAAAAAGAAAGGCACCAGCCCCCTCCGTCGTGCAAGACACATGAGGGATCAATCGTCAGCGCCTCCTCCATCGTTAAGGCTTGACGCTTCCTTCAACCAAGACCTTCAATTTCCAATCACTAAGAAATTACGTGTGTGACAGCTGCAACTCCGTTTTTTGAACCCTTAGGAGGCAGTTTTTTTGTATTTTTTTTACATCATGCGAGGGAGGCGATTGAAAGTGGAAATCTGTCGTCACGCAACTGAGTCCCAATCAAATTTATGCTTGGCAATAATTGACCGATGAAGTAGTGGTGGATGGAAATGTCAAATGGAGTGGCAGTTGCGCCTCTAAAGTGGCGGGATTGATTGGGATGGAAAGGCAAAATAGGATGGAGGATAGAAGGCGAGAATATACTAGAGTGAAGGACAGTAAGAACCACAGACTGCCATAGTAAGAGTCCACGAGGTAATAGAGCCACATTACGATGTTAAAGCTTACAGGGTAGATTGAACACCTTCTCCACCCACCATTACCTGTGACGCTAACAGATGACTCGTGTGTGTGTGTGTGTGTGTGTGTGTGTGTGTGTGTGTGTGTGTGTGTGTGTGTGTGTGTGTGTGTGTGTGTGTGTGTGTGTGTGTGTGTGTTCTTACCTAACACGAAATACAGGCTCTAGCTTCACCACCTGAGCCCAGCCTTCCAATTGTGAGAGGAAGCCCCTACCATTTCCTCTTCTTGATTGATTGAAGCATGATGAGGTGATATGATGACATATCTGCGCTCAAAATTGTCACGAGAGCTGTCGGGTATTGGGTTAAGAGTCAGACGACTTTCCAATACTTTTGTACAGTCTGATGGCAGAGTGGTTATAGTACTGGACACGCCAAAGAACATGGAGGCCCTAACTGACTGGGATCGAATCCTTCAGGGTTCAAGCATTTTCTGTAATATATATATATATATATATATATATATATATATATATATATATATATATATATATATGTCGTACCTAGTAGCCAGAACGCACTTCTCAGCCTACTATGCAAGGCCCGATTTGCCTAATAAGCCAAGTTTTCCTGAATTAATATATTTTCTCTAAATTTTTTCTTATGAAATGATAAAGCTACCCATTTCATTATGTATGAGGTCAATTTTTTTTATTGGAGTTGAAATTAACGTAGATATATGACCGAACCTAACCAACCCTACCTAACCTAACCTATCTTTATAGGTTAGGTTCGGTTAGGTAGCCGAAAAAGTTAGGTTAGGTTAGGTTAGGTAGGTTAGGTTGTCGAAAAACAATTAATTCATGAAAACTTGGCTTATTAGGCAAATCGGGCCTTGCATAGTAGGCTGAGAAGTGCGTTCTGGCTACTAGGTACGACATATATATATATATATATATATATATATATATATATATATATATATATATATATATATATATATATATATATATATATATATATATATATATATATATTATTAAATATGACCGAAAAAGTAAGATTAATAATTCTAACACGAATTTTCTCAATCTTTCGTACATTACGCTTCACTGTTGGAGGTAAATCAAAAATCACTTCTCCAAAATTCATTTTTATTTCTAGTCTGACGCGACACGGGCGCGTTTCGTAAAACTTATTACATTTTCAAAGACTTCACAAATACACAACTGATTAGAACTTGCGTTTCTCTGATTTTATATCTACATTTGAGTGAGGTGGGAAGGGTGATGTGGCATTAACACAAGACAGAACAATAGGGGATATTAATAGGGTATTAAAAGTATCAACACAAGACAGAACAGAAACAATGGGTATTGAATAGAAGTGTTTGTAGAAAGCCTATTGGTCCATATTTCTTGATGCTTCTATATTGGAGCGGAGTCTTGAGGTGGGTAGAATATAGTTGTGCAATTATTGGCTGTTGATTGCTGGTGTTGACTTCTTGATGTGTAGTGCCTCGCAAACGTCAAGCCGCCTGCTATCGCTGTATCTATCGATGATTTCTGTGTTGTTTACTAGGATTTCTCTGGCGATGGTTTGGTTATGGGAAGAGATTATATGTTCCTTAATGGAGCCCTGTTGCTTATGCATCGTTAAACGCCTAGAAAGAGATGTTGTTGTCTTGCCTATATACTGGGTTTTTTGGAGCTTACAGTCCCCAAGTGGGCATTTGAAGGCATAGACGACGTTAGTCTCTTTTAAAGCGTTCTGTTTTGTGTCTGGAGAGTTTCTCATGAGTAGGCTGGCCGTGTCCCCCGAGCTTAAAGCGGCAGCCAAAAGCCTTCGTGAGAACAAGGAGATAGTTGTCAGGAGAGGTGACAAGTCGCCAATATATGTCATTCTTAAAAAAGACGAATATCTGGCGAAAATGAACATCATACTCTCTGACCAAACTAAGTTCCAAAGGGTAACGAAGGACACTACAGCCGAATTAAAAGCAAAGGTCAACAAACTGATCGAAACTGTGAACGCCAAGAAATCCGGACTCCACCTGCCAAAGATCATTGGGGAATATAAACCTGGATATGCGTATGGAAATGTCAAGACGCACAAGCCTGGAAACCCACTTCGGCCAATCATTAGCCAGATACCCACACCCACGTACAGACTGGCGAAGCGACTCAACGGCCTGCTGACTCCTTATGTTCCTTGCGCCTTCAGCCTGAAGTCTCCAAAGGAATTTGTGGACTTACTGCGGGGCGCACGGGCCACAGGGATAAGAGCCTCGTTGGACGTAGAATCGCTGTTTACCAACGTACCTGTGGACGAGACAATCGGAATGATAGCCGACAGAGTGTATCGTGATCCAGCCTGTACTCCTCTTGACATGCCAGAAAGTATTCTGAGGAAACTACTCCAAGCTTGTACTAAAGAGGCACCCTTCTTGAGCCCGGATGGGCACATGTATAAGCAAGTAGATGGGGGTCGCCATGGGTTCTCCCCTAGGTGTCCTGTTTGCAAACTTCTACATGGGTACCATCGAGCAAAAAGTCTTAGTCGACATGAACTTGAAACCGGCCATATACTGCAGGTATGTTGACGACATTTTTACACAGGTACCTGATGTCAGACATCTGCAGGAGCTGAAGGAGGCATTTGAGCAGAGTTCCGTGCTGCGTTTCACTTACGAGACGGAAAAGGATGGGAAGCTGCCTTTTCTAGATGTAACAGTCATGGAAAAGGGCGGAGGTTTCCACACTGCAGTCTACACTAAGGAAACAAACATAGGAATGTGCCTAAATGCCAACAGCGACTGCCCTGACAGGTACAAGAGGAGTGTTGTTAACGCATACGTCGACCGTGCTCTCAGCCACAGCTCAGAATGGAAGCAAGTCGACGTAGAACTCTGTAGGGTAAGGCAGGTCCTAGTCAATAACGGCTTCTCCAATGGTTTCATCGAAGACATCATAAGAAGGAAAGTGAAAAGCCATGCAACCTCCGAAGAGACAACTAACACAACACCTATACCCCCTATTAGACTATTTTACAGGAACTTCTTTTCCACAGCTCATAAAACGGAGGAAAGGGTCCTGAAAGATATTGTTAATAGAAACGTTATCCCTACAGACAAAAATCAGAGGATACAACTGACGATTTACTATAAAACCAGAAAAACGGCCAGCCTACTCATGAGAAACTCTCCAGACACAAAACAGAACGCTTTAAAAGAGACTAACGTCGTCTATGCCTTCAAATGCCCATTTGGGGACTGTAAGCTCCAAAAAACCCAGTATATAGGCAAGACAACAACATCTCTTTCTAGGCGTTTAACGATGCATAAGCAACAGGGCTCCATTAAGGAACATATAATCTCTTCCCATAACCAAACCATCGCCAGAGAAATTCTAGTAAACAACACAGAAATCATCGATAGATACAGCGATAGCAGGCGGCTTGACGTTTGCGAGGCACTACACATCAAGAAGTCAACACCAGCAATCAACAGCCAATAATTGCACAACTATATTCTACCCACCTCAAGACTCCGCTCCAATATAGAAGCATCAAGAAATATGGACCAATAGGCTTTCTACAAACACTTCTATTCAATACCCATTGTTTCTGTTCTGTCTTGTGTTGATACTTTTAATACCCTATTAATATCCCCTATTGTTCTGTCTTGTGTTAATGCCACATCACCCTTCCCACCT